CTTGGGACCTCTGCTGTTATTACTTGAACCCCAAAATATAAAATCTGATCCGTATGCTTCACACAAATGTTGATAAATGTCAAATGTTAATTTGCAATCTTCCTGACTATTGAATCTATTGGTTGCACACTTTAAAGGAGAAATCTAGTGTATTATCTCGACTTGTAACATAACTAAACTTAAACAATCAGTTAGTATATACTAGCCTCAATATCTGAATATTAAACAGTTTTTAAAATTATAAAAATACTAAACTGAACTGTAGAGGGCTCACCAGTTCATTAATCAGAGACTCTTTGCTTTTTTTCTTTGTATTCTTCTCTGACAACTCAATTTCTGCAAGTCGTTGATTCCTTTCCTCTTCCTCAGCTCTCTCTTGTTCCAATAAAAAGTTCAATTCAACATTGTCTTTACTCTAGATATTTGATTCAACAAATATAATGTATGTATCAGAAAATTGTATGTATCTATTGTATACCAAGCCTGCAGGAGTGAATTCTGCTAAATGGGTCACACAGTTTGAAACAATAATATGCGTTAAAGACTGTCCACACTATCAAATTTTATTTGACAAAAACATGTGACATGCCTAAATATGGTCATGATGACATAACATCATGACCATATATAGGCACATCATGACTATATATGGGCACATCATGACTATATATGGGCATACAACAGTTTACTGTCAAAGAAAATTTGATAGTGTGAACTGAGCTTTAAATCAATTTCAGAACTGATAAAATATTTTACCTGTTTTGCGCGATTCTTTGATATTAAATCTTTGTTGTCTCGTCTGTATGCCTCTACCTGTTTCTTAGTTGCATCAACATCAATTCCATTTACTAAATTATAAACTAAAATGAAAAAAATTCCAAAAAAGCATTGTATTATGCGAAAGACTAGGAACAAGAAAAAAAGTCTGTGCTCAGTATTTGGATACATGCATTGAATATTCTGTACTCAGAATAAGCTAGACACTCACTGTACCCGAAGCTTGTCGATTTATGCGATATTTTGGAGAATAGCAAAGCCACAATGTGCATCCAGGCTGGCACAGGCAATCAGCAGACGAAGTCGCACCATTTAGCAATCACAGGCAGCGGAGTTGGATTTGTTGTACGACGGTTGTAGTGAGTGCCCAGCTTCAGATAATCAAGAGCATTTATAAGCGTGTGGGAAATAAAACGACAGCGCCACTAACGGAATCAATCAATCAACTATCTTTAATGTCTATAAATAACTCATTACAGCATTGTGTACAAGTACTACACTGCTGACACCGCAAAACCCACCTTAAACAAGAAGTCAATAAGGCTGAATAATCCTATTATGGCTGTTGAAATTGTAAACATCTTGAGTTTGCAATCCGTTATTTGCTTTTGCTGTGATGTTACACTCTTATATGACCTCCTTAGAAATCTATCTGCTGTCCCCTCTTGACAGAAGGTGATACAATATTTGTTTGATTCACAATTATTCAATGAGTATGATACTTACTAATAGTTTCAACCATTTCTAAATAATCATTATATAGTCTAAGATCCTCAAAGTCATCTTCTTGCTTGTTGAAACTAGGATAAAATTTAAAGACATAAATAATAATAAACACATTATTTAAAATGCAATAATTAAAAATAAAATGTTTCTTTGGACATCCTGTTTTTTACTTTCACAAGATTTTTAGAAAATTCTACAGGTTTTTCATTCATCTTTTTAAACAATTAAGCAATGAGTATGCTAAGGGTATGTGGCTCTCACATGTGTCTAACTTGTAGCCTTCTTTGTTTAAAAAAATGTGGCACAATCTTCATCTTTTTTGGGATGAAAAACATGTTATTTATTTAATTTGGTCTTATGTGTATTCTGTTAATAAGTATCCGCTGTAGGCCAATCATACTGTAGGAGTGATATTTTACGTTGACAAATACTTTTAAAAAAAATTTGCAAGTGATTCGTGTAGGAATAGAACCATGACCTTCAGATAACTAGCCTGGTGTCATAACCACTAGACCACTGAGCTTGAGCTAGGTGACTAGTGTTAAATCCGATCCACTGTATGATGGCAATTAAAAAGCTCTGCCCACACTATTACAATTTATGTAAAAAATATACCTGTGATTTCCTCATGTGTGTGTTAATTATATCATGATGTGGCAATATGAGAAAATCACATAAATTTGTCACAAACAAGTCTGTCCACACTATCATGTTTTATGTGAAAAATATATTTATAAAATCACACAAGTTTGTCACATACTATAAAACTTAATGGGGACACAGCCTTATAGGCTTTGCACAAATATGTACATTTGTTTGTTATAGCACAAGAGCATAAATTGAATGAACCATTAGAATGTACTTTAATCATGTGAAAGGCATGTTTATCAACAGATAGGCCCATACGGTAATACAATGAAAGAACTGTTTTATTAAACGTACTCCTTTAGAATTCTTTTCCTAATGTCTACATCTTTCTCGATTGCTGAATCTTCAAACTGCTGGAGTCGAAATTGATTTCTCCTGAGTGCGGTGTTGCATTGAGGGCATACTCCTGATTGACGGGCAAATAGTAATGACACGCAATTTTCACATCTGCAATATTAATTATGTTATTTCTGCACTGATATAGCTTTAAAAAAAATTTGTGCATGCAACTTGTTGAAAACTAAAGAGAAATTATGATTTTCAAAAATACCAATTTACTACTATAGAAAGTAAAGTAAATGAAAATTCAAAAGAATCAGACACTAGGACGATCAGACCAGTGGTCTAGCACACTTCAGGGGAATAAGCTGCACTGGTGGCGCCAGAGGTGGGGGGGGGGGCAGGGCATTCCCCGTCAGACAGGCCTGGACCCTTGTCGTCTGACGCATGACTATGTTGACCATCAAAATAAAAAATAAAAAATAATAATATTCCTATTCCTTGACTACCAATCCCTCATATTGTGGTGTGAAAAAAGCACATTTTATTTAAGAATTCGATCCAACTCGGCCACAAGTCAACTCGGCCACAGTCAACTCGGCCACAAGTCAACTCGGCCACAAGTCAACTCGGCCACAAGTTAACTCGGCCACAAGTCAACTCGGCCACAAAAAGTTAGTCAACTCGGCCACAGTCAACTCGGCCACAAGTCAACTCGGCCACAAGTCATCTCGGCCACAAATCAACTCGGCCACAAGTCAACTCGGCCACAAGTCATTTACTGGTACTACATTGTACTAATTGTTATTATTATTGTTGTCATTGTTGTTATTATTATTATTGTTTTTATTACCGTTAGTTTTAATATTAATTATTAGTCTTAGCATTAACATTGTATTATATTTTAGTCTTAGCATTAACATTATTAGCATTAACATTATTATTATATTTTAATGACTGAACTAGAAGAGTCTATTGTTCTTAAACTTATTGAATCAGGTACTATTAAGTTTTATACTCGTTTCGTTGACGACAGGCTAGTATTAGCTAAGCCCAATGATTTCCCACAAACTCTAAGCTACTTCAATGCTTTTCATAGACAGATCAATTTTACTTTTGAATCGTTTGAAAACAGTGACACAGTACACTTTCTGGATTTACAATTTAACAACAGTGTAGGAAGTATGAGTATATATCGTAACAGGTCAATATGTCCATTATGATAGCTTTGCTCCATGGAACCATAAGATCTCCTGGATTCGTAGTTTAGTTTCTAGAGCCCACAGATTGTGTACTCCTGATAAACTTCAAACAGAGCTTAGTAACATTATGAAGTTTATGTCTTGGAATGGGTACCCTTTAAAAGTTGTTAACAATGTACTTAAGAAATTAAATGAACCTAAATGTATATGCCTACTGACGATAGCTTGATTAAGATTTGGGTTAGATTGCCTTATCTAGGAAAACCAGGTGAGT